AGTATCTATTGCTTTAAAAAATAATTACAAAGGTTATGATTTTTAAATTTTAATTTTTAAAATAATTTCAAAGTTATAGAAAATTTATAAGAAAATATATGGGAATACTTTTCAACCAGACTCACCAATTGTTAAGCTTCTATATTTGTCTCATACATTGCCTTTTAATTTATAAGTCTAGACCATTTCTATTTAGTGTGATTATTGACATATTGGGTGTAAATCCAATCATTTCAACCTATCATTTTGATATTTCTACATGTTTGATTGACATTTTGTTCTCCTTTTCCCTCTCTTTTTTCATTCTTTTGAACTAACTTATTGCTGGGTGGCCAGCACCTTGCCAGGGAATTTTTGCCTGCTCAGAGGGATAAGCATCCTGATAAACTGAAGTCTAGAATAATTAGTGAAGAACAAAAGACAAAGAGTCAGAAAGGATAGTTTTAAAGATGGAGCCCTGATAGGTTCAGTTGACGCAAGAGCTGGAGCTAAACAATTAGAAAATGGCTCCTGTGGTTTATTTAAGGGGGTACATCAAAAGCAAGGGTAAGGTTTCAAGAGTAGAGTTTTGCTTGGTGATGTCCTTCAGTCATCAGGTTGATTGGCATCTTAGCAGATCACACCCATCTCAGAGGGGCTGTGCGGCTGCAGGTCACCCCATCTCTGCTGCTGTGTGGGACCTGGCAGAACTTGAATTGAGCTCACAATGTCTCTGGGCAGTCAGCCAGAGGAAATGTCCACTGGAAGTTCTCAGACACCAGATTTCCCTATTCAATTAGGCAGTGATGTGTGACAGTCCACACACAGCCCGCGAGTGGCTCATGACACTAACTGACTATAATTTATTTTTCCATTTAATCTCCTCCATTGGCATATTAGCTATAGCTACATGGTTTTGGGATGTTAGCTTTGGTTATGTGCATATATCTAACTCAAATAATGTTATGCTTTGCATATAACAGCCTTTCAGCAGTATACTTCCATTTCTCCTCTCTCAATCTTTGTGCTATTGTTATAAATTTTACTTCTATGGATGCCCAATATCTTATTATTTTTGCTTTAAATGGCAGTTATGTCTTTTTCCCCCATTAACAAATGCCATCATTAATTTATTCAACAAACATTAAATAAGTGACTATTATGTATCTAGACAAGCACTGCTAATACCTGAGCTTTTAGACAATCAGAAGTGGGGGGGTCTGAGTTTACAGGTAGAAAATATAATTCAAGAAAAGCCTATGAGAGAAGAAGGCATTTTGTGTCTTGATTTTCATTATGGAAACAGAAGGTATAGTGAATCTGAGAAAAATCTTTGAGAGGGACATCTTAGTTTTCTAAGCAATTATCTTTTTAAAATAATCTTGTAGAAGAACTTAAATGATGAGAGAAGATCTTATGCACCTACATGTGCAATTACCATTCCTGGTGCTCTCCATTCCTTTCTGCAGACCCCGATGATGTTAGTATCATTTCCTTCAACCCAATGCCTATATTTCCTTTAAGATTTCTTATGATGTAGATGTTCTGCTGCTGAGTTCTTCCAGCTTTTATAAGTCTGAAGAAATTTTTATTTCCCCCTTTATTTGTAAATGATAGTTTGTCTAGATATAGAGAAGTTGGTTGACTTTTCAGAACTTGAAAAATGTTGCTCCAAACTTTTAACTTGCATCATTTCAACGTGAAGTCTGCTCTCATTCTATACTTTGTCCCATTACATCGATAACATCTTTTTTCTTAAGCTGCTTACAAACTTTTTTGCTTCGTTTTTTTTTTTTTCTCAAAATACTTGAAGCTGGGTACTTTAGAAAAGAGACTTATTTGGCTTATGTTTCTGATGATTGGAAAGTCCAACAGCACAGTGCTGGCACTGGCAAGGGCCCCCATGGTTACATCACAACATGGCCCAGAAGCAGAAAGGGAGATGGTTACCTGCAGAAATTGCTGTGCGTGGCAGGGACAAGGAAGCATGAGAATGGGGAGGAGTCAGGCTCACTCTTTTAGAACAACCTGCTTTTGGGGGAACTAACCTGGTCCTGTGAGAACTATTAATTCTTTCTAAGTGTAGTGCTCTCAGGATCTAATTATCTCTTAAAGGACCCACTTCCTCTTAAAAGATCCACCACTTTTCAGTGCCACCATACTGGGGACCAAGCTTTCAACACATAAACATTTGAGGGACCAGCTATATACAAAGCATAGCAGCCACATTTAAGCAATTTGATTAAGATAATGCCTGATTGAGCTTCATGTTTCTTGTGCTGGAGGGTTTGTTGACCTTCATGGGTCCGGGAGTATATAGTTTTGATCACACTCAGAAAAACCTTAGCCACGATTTCTTTAATATTACTCTAGGTACCCTCTTTTTCCTGTGACTCCTTAAAGACTACCTGAAGTTATCCCACGGATCACTGACTCCCCAGGCTCTTTTGATTTTTCTCTTTTCGTCTCTTTGGGTTTCATTCTGGCTTTGATTTTATGTGTCTGTTGCTGTGTCCTTGAATTCACTCATTTTCTGTTTTATAGTCACCAACATGCTGTTCATCCCATCTGGTGTGTTTTCATCTCGGACCCAGGATGATAAGAACCGGGGGTGGTAGGTGGAGAACCTACTTATGCAACTGGGGCAATCAGAGAAGGCTTCATGAAAGAGGTGGCATTTAACATCAGCATCAAATGTAGAGAGTGAAGGCATTTCAGGAACAAACCATTGTAGACAGATGACGGAGAGGGCACCACTGGCAGAGGGTCCAGGAGAAGCCAAGGCACAGAGTGTGGACACTGGCAGCCTGGAGGATGGTGCAGGGGCAGGGAATGGTCTGGAAGGGTCAGTCTTCTACAATTTTAGAGGAAAAAAAACAAGAGATTGGAATCAAACCCCATCATAAAGCTGAAAATAAAACAGAATCAAGACTAGAATACCTGGTGGGAGTGGACTTACAAATTCCTTGCCTTCAAGTCACTTTTTCTGCTTGGTTATCAACCTGCACGTCTGAAACAAAACAGCTGGACATTGCTTCTCTGTTGTTTTGGTAAAGATGATCTCTAAAGCCGCTTTCTTCTCTCAATGTGCATAACTCTACAAAACAAAACACCTCATTTCAGTAGCATTTGAGTGTCATTGGTGTTTTTGAGCAGGAGAGTGCATGCCTTTTATGTAATGGATAGTTGAGCATTTATAAATGAGTCAGGCGAATGGGTTCCCATCACGGTGGTGCTAGTGAGGCTTGGAGAGGAGGCACTGCAGGCATAGGTGTGTGTATTGTTCCCATTCACTGAAGAACTAGGATACCAGGAGAGGTAACACGAAGAAGGCATTTTGGAAAAGCTATTTTGCAATGAAGAAAACACCTAATGATGGCTTTATCCCTGTGGGAAATCCCAGCTGAGGACGTGATTTACAATCCACTTGGCTCCTTTAAGTCCTATGATGTGGTGTCTGGTAGTAAAAATGGCAGCTGACTTGATTAAGTTTTTACAGTGTCACTAAAAGATTCTATAACCTGTGTGAGTCTTGGATTTTACATTATTAAAAAATGGTAAGAATAATGACAAAAATCTTCAATTTGTGGTAAGAGTTCAGAATGATAGCATGTAATTCGAGATTTGAGTTTCATCACTATTCCATCTGGATTTTTAAATGGAAATTGACAAACTGATTACAAAATTTATACAGTAATATAAAGGAATAGGAAAGTCAAAACAAGTTTGCCGAAGAAGAACTGAAAGCATTAACATTTCCTGATATCAGAACTTACTAGAAAGCTAGAGGAATCAGGAAAATGTGATTTGGCATAAAGACAGGCAAATAGATCAATTAAGCAGCGAAAAGTATAGAAATGGATCCACATACAAAAAGGCACTTGATTATTGACAAAAGTGCAAAGTAGATAGTTTTTTCACAAATGGTGTTGAAACAATTAGACATCCACATGCAAAGAATAAAACCAACCAAACAAACAAACAAACAAAAAAATCCTTTGTTCACCATTACATTTAAAGTAATCCCCTCTCTTTCCTGGTTTTGCTTTCTGCAGTTTTCAGGTACCCACAGAGAAATGTGGTCTGAAAATATTAAATGGAAAATTACAGAAATAAACAATTCCTGTTTTTAAAATTATGTACTATTCTGAGTAGTATGAAGAAATCTCTAGCCATCCTGCTCTATTCCTAGGACAGGAATCATTTTTTTTTTTCCAGTGTGTCTGCACTGTATACCCTACCCACCTATTAATCACTCTGTAGCTGTTTGGTTATGAGATCTGCTGTTATGATATTGCAATGCCTGTGTTCAAGTAATCCTTATGGAATAGCCTAACACTATGTCACAACACCTTGTCATTTACCTCACTTCATCTCATCACATAGGCACTGTATCATCTCACATTATTAATAATAAGAATGGTGAATATAGTACAATAAGATATTTTTGAGAAGAATAGACTATATTCATAGAACATTTATTGCAGTAAGTTGTTATAATTATCCTATTTTGTTATTATTATCCTATTTTGTTATTATTAATCTCTATTGTGTCTTATTTATGAGCGAAATTTTATCACAATTGTATATGTCAAGGAAAAAATATATATAGGGTTCAGTACCATTCAAGGATACAGCATCCAATGCAGTCTTGGAATGTATCTTCTGCAGATAAGAGGCAACTACTGTACATAAATTACATGAAATGGGTCATATACTTGAATGCAAAAACTACAGCTACAAAAGTTATAGGAAAAAAAACAGGAAAAATCCTTTGCAAAAATTTTTCTTGATAGGACAACTAATAAACCATAAAAACAAATTGATAAATGGATTTCAGCAAAATTTAAAACTTCTTCTCTTCAAAAGACACTGGTAGGAGAATCAATAGGCAAACCACAGGCTGGAAGAAAACATTTGCAAATCATATATCAGGTTAAGGGAGGACTTTATATATTCAAAATATACAAAAACTCTCAAAACTCAATCAGACAAAATAAAAAAAAAAACATGGACAATATATTTAAAGAGAGATTTCACCAGTGGCAGACAGCACCCGGGAGATAGTATAGCACACTCTACACCTCTTTGATTGGCTACGATGACCTCACTAAGTGTTGACAAGATCATGGAATAGTGGAGTCTTCATGCAGTGATGATGGAGATGTAAAATGACATACCATTTGTAAAATAGCGGGCAGTTTCTCAAAATGTTAAATACACAACTCTCATATATGATGTAGGCATTCCATTCCTAGGTGTTTCCCGCCAGTAAGAGAAGCATGTGTCTATATAAAGATTTGCACACAAATGTTCACAGAAGCTTTAATTGTAACAGCTCCAAACTGGACATAAACCAAGTGTCCACCAACAGGAAAAGGGATAAACAAACCGCTCTTTCCAACCATGCAATGGACACCACTCGGCAGTCAAAAGAAACGGACCACAGATGTGAGCAACAGTGTGGGTGAATCTCAGAATGATTATGCTGAATTTAAAAAGATGTATTTAAAAAATAATAAAAAGTACTCACTGTATGATTCCAGGAACCATGCATTTTGGGAATTAAAAACTAATATATAGTGATAGCAGATCTTTGGTTGTCTGGATACAGGAGGAAGAAAGCCCACAAGAGAACTTTTGGGTTGATGAATGTTTATTACATGGATTGTGATGTGGTTTCACATATGCTGAAACTTATTAGCACTTAAAATACATAGAGTCTATTATAAGTCAGTTGTACTTCAATGAAGAAAAAAATAGATGGGATTCTATGTTGCGCAGACATGGATTCACATCCTACCTTTAAATCTCAGCTTCACCACTTGAAAACTGTATGACCTTAGGTAAGTCACTCAACTTCTCTGAATCTAAGCATCCTCATTTATAAAATGAGGTTGATAATATTTCTACCTTCCTTATAAGACAGTTATGAATATAGACTGAAATAATGCAGGTAAGGTGCTTGGGACATAACAGGTGCTTAATGAACATTAATTATAGTTGAAGTGCCTCCTATAATAACTGACGTTAGGTAATTGCTCAGTTAAGTCTCACCCATCTCCATCCTTACCATCTCCCATTAAACTTTCTGTGTTTGATCATAAAATTCTTGGCAAAAAAAAAAAAAAAACTCTATAAAAGAGAGAGTTACACCAGACAGAAAAGCCAGCTCCTGAGCAAGGCAGTTCAGCTGGGTGTACTATCATCTTGTCCTCACGTGGTGTGGCTGGTGTTAGCAACGTTCTCTAAGGGTGGTGATCTGGCCTAAGAGGAGCTTAGCACAGCAGAGTCCTCTGTTACTCTTGGGCTCTCATGGAACTTTCCAGGTCTACAAGTGTTGGGCAGCTGTGCAGTGAGGGAGCCTCAGCTCTCCCTCTAGGGTGATACTGGCACTTTATAGGAGGGTGTCCCTATTGTCCAGGAGATTTCTTTGGTCACAAAGGCTCTGCTGAAGTCTCCCCATCCCTGTAAGGAAACTAGGACTAGAACTTTCATGAAAGAACAAGGCATGCTCTGTGTGGTCACAGCGGCTGAAACTTTAGCACAGTGGCTGGGCCAGCAGCCCCAGCACTAACTCATTCTAGCCACAAAGATGTTCCCCTCTGAGTTCAACTGTCCCTTCCTCTGAGTTTCTTGACAAAGGGCTGGAGATGGGGGCGGCGGGTAGAGCTGAGAGGCTAGGGACAGTGGCTGGGTAGTGAGCAGGTTTCAGATGTATTCACCATAAAAGGAGCTTGTTCCGCTTTTGATGGAAAGTTTGCTCTTGTGCCTAGTAGCAGGTGACCGTGCTGGTTTTAAGTGTCAGATCTGGCTCCCAATAAAGACTTAATGAGAAGTAGGTTGAGCTTTGAAGGCCATACGTCTTCAAAAGGATGCCTGCAAGCATTGTCTGCAGTCAGAGTTTTCAGGAATTCTAGAAGGAAGGGGGCTTACGTCCCCCTGGGTTTCCCAAATATATCATCAGTCAGAAGCCCCCATGTATTCAACACATTTTAAAGTTGCAGAGCATGGACAAGGTTTAGAGAACAGAAAGGTGAATATAGTATATTCCACCTTCAAGGAGCTCACGGTATAACAATCGGGGTCCATCATATCTTGTGTGACCTTGGGAAAGTCACTGAATTTTTTGAGCTTTAGTTTCTACCTTTGAAAAATGGGATTATAACCTGTTACTCAAAGAATCATCATGAGATGAAGTGGAATGAAATGAGATGATGTGTCATATCACAGGGCCCAGCACAGGACAGATATCCCACGAACTTGGCCTTGACTATCAGTGATGAGCAGGATTAGAATCCAGGCTGGCCTAGTGTTCTCACTGGATTTGCATTAGGTGACAAGAGCCAAGGCAAAGCTGGGAGGCCTCTAGGAGCTGTACCCTTCCTGGGACAGGGATCAACCCAGGGGTCACATTATCCCAAATTTAGCTCCTTTCTAAACAAGGGACCCTACCTTTCACTGTTGGTTTTTTTGTTTTTTAATGACATTGTATAAATTTGAGTTACTCTTATTCATTCAACATTGATAGTCTTGAGCATTTTCCACGGGGCCAGAAGCTGGGGATGAGTGTTGCTCTGAGGCCTCAAGCAATGCAAGCGTCAGACAGTTATAAGCACATACCAACAGGGCACCAGAGGCCCAGGTGAGGCACCTGACCAGACTTTATGGCTCTCACCCCCGCAGCTTCCTGCAGAGGCTCCTTCCCCCAGTGTGGCTCTTACTCTGCCCTCCCCTGCCTCACTATGGCCTACTGGCTCAGTCACCTGTGCAAGAGTCTCTGTCTCTGGCATCTCCCTTCCCAGTCCAGTGTGACCAAAACAGTGGTCACACTCAGAAAGAACTGATACTGCACTTCTTTGCTGAAAAACTTCAAGGACTCCACTAATTCACCTGGCAGACTCTTCAGTACCACCTGACCTTCATGTCCCAGGTGACCTAGAGGGCTTCCTTTCCATTCTGGTCAGTTTTATACTCAGACTTGTACGGTTTTCTTATCCAGTGTCTTTTACACCTCTCCTGCAGAGTCTCATTCCACTTCTGGCACCAGGAAGACCAGAATTACACACACACACACACACACACACACACACACAC